TTTAACTATGGCACAACTGAGGATAAAGAATATCGTTATGGTTATAATTTCACATTTAATACAAGTTATACAGGCCTGAATACTTCAATACTGACCTTTAATCTTAATCAGTCTGAGAGTGTACGCATTACGTGTGCAGATTCAAAAGATACTGATACAAAGGACACAACAGTTACTGAATTAGGTTAGTATACAGAAAGTAATTACTTTCTTTATATATCTATTGCTTAATATGAAATTCTTATTAATAGGTTATTATGCAAAAGCACCAACAAACTTAACATCAGCCTTCAATGCAAGTGGAGTTACTTTAGAATGGAAGGACACTGGGAATAACTGTACTAATTTTACTGAGTATCAAGTGACTGTTATTAGTTGTTCATGTACATCAACCAGTGTATTGATGTATAATACTACTGAAACAGCCTTACACATAAACTCAAGTGATTTATTTAAAAATGCAGTCTATACATACACTGTTAGAGGATGGAATGAACAGGAAAGTAACAACAGTGAACCATTCACACTTGGTAAGAACAATATGTACAGCTCAACAATAATTATGGCTTACATCTAATTTTGATTTTAGCTCCCATTGAAGTGATGAGTGTTACAATAGCTACTACTAATACTACTGATCCTTGTAAGAATAATAGTTGCTGTGCTAATGTTACACTGAATATAATACTGGTGAGATACAGCGAGTATGTCATAAAGTTAGCCATCAATCCATGTAGGCATTATCAAATGTAGATTTTATGCATCCAAATCAGTACTACAATATATCTTTATACAATTCCAATACTGGGGTATTATTATTATTATATGAAATAAATGAAACAGAATGGACTGGATCAGGATTAAAATACAATGAGACTTATTGCTTTACAGTCACACCAATGAATAATTTTAGCACAGGAATGTCAATAAGTATGTTGTATGTGTAATAGTTGATATTGAGTACTTTATAATATACAGATATTGACACATCAACTACTGAATACCAATGTCAACCACCAGAAAATGCTTCTATTATAGCAACTCCTGACTTAAATGTTAGTATTACTGCAATTAGTACTACTGATAATTGTAATTATAATTGTTGTGCTAATATCACAATTTCCATACAATTGGTAAGTATAATCGAAACAAATCCAATGTCTTTTATAAGTACTGCAGGTATCAAACACATCAGAACAACAGTATGCAAATCAACGTTATATAATATCATATAATGATTCCATCACTGGTAATGAAGAATCAGTAGTAACAAATAAAGGAGAGCAGAGCAAGAATATACAACTGCCTTATAAGGAAAGTTATTGCTTTACAATCACACCAGTACACCATTTTGATTCTGGACTGGAAAAAAGTATATACTAGTACTAGTATTTTGATACTGGGCATTTTGTATAGGTCAATGCATCATGATTTTGAAATGTAACACAACAAAAATGGAGGAAGCAAGTGATGCTCCATTACTTGCTTCCTCAACTCCTACTTCAACTCCTACTTCAACTCTTACTTCAACTCCTACTTTAGGAATTGGCACATGGATTTCAGTTGGAATTGGCCTTTCTTTGCTCATTATTATTATTATTATTATTATTATTATTATTATTATTACATGTATTTTAGTCATCTTACACAAAATAAAACAGAACAGTGTAGGTGTAATACGAGGTGAGAATAATGGAACACTGCAGTCATCCACATGAGAAGAACAATCAAGAAGTTAATATTATACATTTATACAGTTGTAATCATTGTAGAATTTTAACAAGATTTTCTTATTTACTTTCCCCATAGCATTTTTCCTTAAATTGTCCTTTATTATAAATAGTCTTGGTACCTTATATTGTGCTAATTTATCAACACACCACTTCTTCAGTATCTCTGAAGACTAATCAAAATAATAACAAGAAATAACACACACCATCACAATAAGAAGGATTGAGAGCTCACCAATTCATGATTGTCAGCTGTTGGTACAATTATTGCCACCACTTTCTGTCCCAAATCTTCATCTTGTACTCCAATAACAGCACATTCACTTACTAATGAGTGCTCCAGTATTACCCTCTCTATCTCAAGAGCACTATATACATGTATAATAATACATAATAATATAACACATATATACATACATGTACTGTACCTAATTTTATAGCCTCCACTCTTTATTATGTCTACTGATGCTCTCCCTAGTATCTTAAACACATTATTCCTGCATTCTATTATAAAAGTAGTACATTAATTTATAAGCTTTCACAAATAATAGCTAACCAGCAATGTCTCCAGTAACAAACCAATGGACTGGGCCATCAGGTTGAGCTTTATCATTAGAAGTATGATTTAATATAGTAAATGCGTTCTGTGTGACTTCAGGTTTCCTCCAGTAACTATTGATAACATTTTAACTCCAACTTTTGTTGGTTAATGCTTACCCTTTAAAGATGCCTGGACCATACAAATGTATTTCCCCTTCCTCAACTTCACCAGAGGCATCACTCTTAACATTATTATCCTCATCTTTTGAAACCAATCTGACACTGTTATAAGGGAGTGGATATCCAACAAGACCCTATCACACACAAAAATAACAACAACAATAATTAAGATCTCACTGGTTCTCTATGACCTTTATATAAATTAGATAATACCATTCCAGTCTCAGTCATACCATATCTCTCAAGCAGTGCATGTCCTGTGCATGTATAAATACAATGAATTAATAGATAGTAAGAGGTCTTTTCCATTACCTGTCACTTCTTTCCATCTCTTGAAAATTGAGTCTGGTAATGCTGAAGAGCCTGACATC